GATGGATAGAAACAGACCACAGCATCCGTTTCAGCAAAACTCCGTGGAACCTGGATATGTGAACGACCCTGTCCCTCAAGGATTTGCGCCTGATCGAATGGGCAGGACGAATGAATATGCCCGACCTCCCAATTTGAATGCTTCAGAGGTTAGGCCGGTGCTTAATTACTCCATACAAACAGGAGAGGAATTTGCTCTTGAGTTTCTGCGCGATCGGGTGATTTCTCAAAGGTCTGCAAATCCTAATGCAGCTGGTGACATGGTGGGAAATGGGATGAGGGAGTATAAACTTGGGCATATACAGTCAGCACCAGAAGCTTCGTTATGTCAAGATAGAAATTTAGGAAATTTTCATGGATATGCATCTTCTTCAGCCTCGGGTAGTTTGACAGCAAAGGTTAAAGTTCTTTGCAGCTTTGGTGGGAAAATACGTCCACGTCCAGGTGATTCCAAGCTTAGATATGTAGGAGGTGAAACACACATTATTTCAATAAGAAAAGACATAACTTGGCAGGAGCTCAGGCAAAAAGTTCTTGAAATCTACTACCGGACTCATGTTGTGAAGTATCAACTTCCTGGTGAAGATCTTGACGCCTTGGTGTCTGTATCATGTGATGAAGATCTCCAGAATATGATGGATGAGTATAATGAGATGGAAAACCGTGGGGGTTCGCAAAAGCTTAGAATGTTTCTGTTTACGGTTAATGATTTGGATGGTTCTCTTTTGGGGGTTAACAATAATGATGTTGACTCTGAGTTCCAGTTTGTGGTAGCTGTAAATGACATGGACCTTGGATCGAGAAGCAACTCAACCCTTAACGGAGTAGAGAGTTCTTCGGCAAACAATTTAGCTGAGCTGGATGTCAGGAATACCGAGGGAATCAATGGTATTGGCGCTTTGCCGTTAACGGGTGTTGGTTACCAACAATCCTCTATACAATATTCTGACTCTGCTCCACCAAGCTCCTTGCTTCATTATTCTCAATCTATTCCACACAATGCTGCATTTCAGTTTCAGCAAGCTGTTCCACCAAATCCTACTCTTCCGTATCCACAATCTATTCTACCAGGTTCCCCTCTTCAGTATCCACAATCGATTTCCTCTAGCTCTTATGGAATGTACCCTCAATACTATGGAGAAAGAGAGCAATTTCCGATGCATCATCATGATCACAGTTCTAATTACTCTATTCCCATGCCTTTCCAAGGACAGCCTTACCCTCACCCTGGCATCACACAGCAAAACGTACCAGTGCAAGTAGAGGAACCAAACATAAAACCTGAGACGAAAGTTCGTGAGAATGCAGAGGCTGAAAATCGTCAAATTTTGGCAAAGGATCGCCAGAATGTTCCTCAAGCGGATAATGTTGAGGTTAAGAATCACTACGAAGTTCGGGAGGCATCAGTTGCAACAACTGTACCTAACCAGGATGCTGCACATATGTTGCCCCCAAGAAGAGACACACGGCAGAACAATCCAGTGAAGCCTTCTACCTACCGTGACGCTGTTGTTACTGAGCAGGTTCCTGTATCTGGTGAAGATGATCAGCTTTCAACATCAAGTGGTACTTGTGGTCTTGTTCATACCGACTCTGAGTCAAATTTAATCGATCTTGATTACCCGGAACCTTTACAGCCCACACGGAGGGTATACCGTTCGGAGAGGATACCTCGTGAACAGTTAGAAATGCTTAACCGCTTATCGAAGTCTGATGACTCACTAGGTTCTCAGTTCTTAATGTCTCATTCACAAGTTAGCACCGGACAGCAAGATCCAGCAAAAGAAGCAGAGGGTAAATCACATGAAGATTCCCATATTGTTAATGAAACAATATCTGAAAACATAAAGGCGTCGAATGAAACCTTGGAGAAAACAACTGTCAATGGTGGAGGTATTGAGACCGAGGCTCCTAAATTGAGCCATGTAGACACAGCCATGAATCATGTTATCCCTGAAAATCGAGCTTCTTCTGGCGTTCTTATTGATATCAATGACCGGTTCCCTCAGGACTTCCTTTCTGAAATGTTCGCAAAGGCACTCTCTGAGGATATGCCACCAGGTGTCAATCCATATCAGCATGATGGAGCTGGTGTTAGCTTGAATGTAGAGAATCATGATCCTAAAAATTGGTCTTATTTTCGGAAACTGGCCGAGGAACAGTTTAGTGAAAAAGATGCTTCTTATATTGACCGAACCCCTGGCTTTCCATCTGACATGGAAGATGCCGGAGAGATTAGCAGACTGAATCGCGTCAATCCATTGACTAGAGATGGCGTTTCAACAGAAAATTTAGGTCAAGATTATAATTATGGTGCTGGGAATAACGAGGGTGTACAGATGGAGGTCACAGAGAGTGAGGAGTTTGATGCTATGGTTGAGAATCTGAGGTCGCCGGACTATGAACATGAGGTAAAGGTTTCTGGTAGATTTGATTTCGCAATACCAAAACCATGAGTGTACTAATGAGGATGAATGCTTGGTAGGATGAAAAGACAGAAACAAGGAATGCTGGACTTCCTCCACTTGGCGCATCTCTGGCAGATTACGACGCGAGTGGCTTGCAGGTATGATGGACTTAAAAATCTTCAGCTGATAGAACTTTACTTATTTTGATTTCGAAAAGGATCGATACCAGTGGGTCTTGCATTTTCAGATTGTTAGAAGAATCAAACGAGTTTTAATCCCTGTTTGTCATATGAAAGAAATTTTATGCTTCTATCTTCGTCTCTGATTCTTGTATTCTTTAATGTTTCTAGATCATTATGAATGATGATCTCGAGGAGCTAAAGGAGCTTGGTTCTGGCACATTCGGTACAGTGTATCATGGGAAATGGAGAGGATCAGATGTTGCCATCAAGAGGATAAAGAAGAGTTGCTTTGCTGGCCGATCATCTGAGCAAGAGAGATTAGTAAGCATTTCTGCATTTTCTTTTGGAAAAATTTCCGTTAGACATATGTTAAAATGACTACCAAATGATAACACTTTAAATTGTTCATCATTGGACGCTTATGAATACCTTTTCTATTCCGTAGACTGGTGAATTCTGGGGAGAAGCTGAAATTCTTTCAAAGCTTCATCATCCAAATGTGGTCGCATTTTATGGTGTTGTAAAAGATGGACCTGGTGGTACGTTGGCCACTGTAACAGAGTATATGGTTGATGGTTCTCTGAGACATGTTCTACTCAGGAAAGATAGGTACAAGCCTCTCTCAAAACGCTTCCGCGTTTTCCTTTTTGTTGAATGGTTTAAGATTGTTTGCTTTTCATTATTATATTTCAGACACCTTGATCGTCGTAAGAGACTAATCATTGCCATGGATGCTGCATTTGGAATGGAATATTTGCACGCCAAAAACATTGTTCACTTTGATTTGAAATGTGACAATCTACTTGTGAACCTCAAAGATCCTTCTCGCCCAATCTGCAAGGTAAATTTCATTCATCTAATGTCTTCCAAAAAAATCAGATTTGTGCCTTATAGTTGTGATAACTCTCTCCATTCGTTTTGTTCTTCGTAAAAGGTTGGTGACTTCGGTTTGTCGAAAATTAAAAGAAATACATTGGTATCGGGTGGTGTACGTGGAACACTACCATGGATGGCGCCAGAACTTCTAAATGGTAGCAGCAGCAAAGTTTCAGAGAAGGTAAAATAAAAATTTGCATAGAGAATATAAAGAATGAAGTGTGGAATCATACCGACTTGTTGCTTCTTTTTCTGCAGGTCGATGTCTTCTCTTTCGGTATAGTCTTGTGGGAGATTCTAACTGGGGAAGAACCATATGCTAATATGCACTATGGTGCTATAATAGGTGCGTGTTTTACTGACCCACGAGCCTCCTTTTATGGCCTAATCCAGTACTTCATTTCGGTTTCGGTTAAGATATTTTGGTTTATGATATATGGAAACTTAATTATTTGGCTGGTTTGATACGATTACGGTTTTGGCTCGGTTTAAGTTTCACTTTGAAGGATTTTCATGGAAGTTGAGGTTCTAATCAGCTTATTTTTGTTTTCTATTTCGGTTTTGGTTGTTATTTGTTTGGGTAGTGAAGAAATGAAACCTAATTGGTGTATTTCTCTTCATATTGGTTTATTGGTCGAGTTTCAGTTAAATTGGATTGGACAGTACTATAATATGTCTCAAGTCTTATCTGCACAAAAATTTACGGTTAAACGCAGGTGGGATAGTAAACAACACACTGAGGCCAACCATACCGAATTACTGTGACTCGGACTGGAAAATATTAATGGAGGAATGTTGGGCTCCAAACCCGACAGCACGACCATCCTTCACGGAGATAGCCGGCCGGCTACGTGTGATGTCAACTGCAGCTACATCTAACCAATCCAAACCACCAGCTCACAAGGCTTCAAAGTGAAAACCGAGTCTCCATTCTTTGTAGGTTTTTCTTTTACTCTTTTTTCAAGTGCTTTGGGGTCGGGAGGGAGATATTTGTTGACCCTTTTCTCCTTTCCCTTTTCTTTTACCAAAACCAAAACAAAATAAATGATAAAAATTTGTTTTGAGGTCGTTGTATCAACAGTCGAAATTTGTTTTAATCTCAGGTTATTTGTCTTACTCTAGTGTGGAAATGAGGTATGATTGATGTGTTCTTACCAT